TCAGGTCTGTAGTTTTCACAGGGCAGTTTCAGGGGTAACATAAGGTTTGTAGTTTTCACAAGGTAGTTTCAGGGGAAACCTCAGGTCTGTAGTTTTCACAGGGTAGTTTCAGATTATGATTCAAGCACAGAGAACATTTCCTAGATCATTTTAGCAAGATCACAAAATACAAAGAGAAGCAAACACAAAAAAAAACCAGGTCTCACTGATTTTGGCAAAGTTATTCAAGATAAAAAAAGTGTTTCTTTTTTTTTTTAAAAAGGGTAGAAAATTCGATCTCTTTAAGTGTTCAATTACAGTGTTTAATGACCCCAACAGTCACCAGGTCTTTTTTAAGTTCAGACAAAATTGTCTATTTGGTTTAAGCGCACTAAATAGAGGACAATCAATTTACAATAATCCTCCCAAGAATCCTTACAGACTGCAATTTCCAAAACACTTTTATATTAAAAAAAAAAAAAGTACTCTTCAAAATTCATATACTACTTTTTTTTCCCCTTTTCGTTCTTAGCACTTTGAGAAATTCCCTCTTTCCTGTTTTAGCATGTTTTCAAATACCATCTTTTATAATCAATTTCAGAAAATTAAATATCTGAGGCTTTTAACATCAGTAACATTTTTAAATCATGGCAAAAATAGTCTTCAGCAATAACACCAAATTCTTAAGTTATTTCCTCCTTATAGCCAATTCAGAGGGAGACGTCAGAACAATTTTTGATAAGGAATTGAAAATATTAAAAATACATTCTTTTAAAGTATGTAAGGTATAAGGAAGCACAGGCTGCAATTTAGACAACTCTACATCTTTTCTGTAGAGTTTATATTGTCAAAAAAAAATCAATAAATTATAATTTTAAAACTCAATTATATTTCTGACTCTCAGGATTTGGGCTAAAAAAATTTTTAGGATTTAAGTCTCCTGGGACTAAAAGATGTTTCTACCCTGAATCAGTACAATGTGAAAAAATAAAACTATAGAAAATCTAACAAATGTGGTTTTTACAGGAACTGTCTCAAGTCTTTGATTCTTAGTTGGCACCTGGGAACAGAAATGCTCTAGAGTTTTTTTTAACTGAAGTAGTGTTGCTTGCACTTCCTGTTATTTTAATATCACCTTCTTAAAATCAAACAGGCCTTCCCCAAAGTTTCTCTCTCCATAAAGTTCTCAAATTGTCATACTGCAATACATCATGCTGCTACACTGGAGAGGCAAGTCACTCTAATAACCCAAACTCAATTTCAAGCAGTAACTAGTTAAGAGTTGAGCCATATAGAGATATATGACCATTTATGACTTACAAAAACGGTGCTTTCCTAGGGTTTAAATCCGTATTTTCTTCTTAAATTTTATTCAGTTGTTGAGAATATACACAGCAAAACATACATCAATTTACAGTTTCTACATGTACAATGTGATGACATTGACTATATTCTTTGAGCTGTGCAACCATTCTCACTCTCCTTTTCTGAGACATTCCTCCTGTATTAACATAAACTCACTGCCTCCTAAAGTTCCTATCTAATCTTGCGAACTGCTGTTGTCAATTTCATCCCATAAAGATAGTGGCATAATGCTCAAACCACCCCCCCAAAAAAAACAAACCCACTGCCGTCGAGTCAATTCCGATTCATCGTGAACCTATAGGACACAGTAGAACTACACCATCGGGTTTCCAAGCAGTAATAGGTGTATTCATCCCTGAGCCACCAGGGCCCCTATAATGCTCAAGGCAG